ACGTCGGGCAAATAAAATATTGGTCCCAGAGAACGCTCTTCCGCCTTCTACATTATAATTTGTTTTGCGTATGCAGTGAAGCCGCGGATGAAGCGAGACGAACAGCCCCACCTACCACCATTTCAGGTAACGAGCGAACTACTAGCAGGATATTTTCTTCGATTGACAAAATTCCACCGACTTTACCAGTTGTCCGTACGTGTACCTGTGTCCGGGCGTTGGGTCCTGCTCCCACTGGGCGTGGGTCATTGGTCGCCTGCAGCCAATTACTGGACGGTGCATTTTGATTGGCTGCGAGGTGTAAAATCTCGCGCGGCTCCACCAGCGAACCGAGCATGAGCATGAGGCGTAATTAGATTATAAAATTTCATACTGATGTTTTTCTGGGGTGTAATGGATTAATTTTCATTACTTTAAATGGAGAACTGCGTTTCTTAAGATGAGATTTTTACCTGACGAGCTGGGTACCGGAACAGAGTACACTCGTTAACCTAAGGCTTCACTGTACAACCTTTTCGCTCGTTTAGTAAAACCACTTCCTCCTCTCTCTCTCTCTCTCCTTCCAGCCGGATGAGGAGGAGGACTCCGCGGCTTCTATGAACTGTACGATGGAGGGCTTTCAACTGAATGCTCAGCGTGGTCTGCAGGACGTTCGGGAGATGATTGAGGTAGGTTGGATCTCCCCTTTCTCACACGGTCTCTTTTCCTCTGTGTGTGTGTCTGCAAAGCTTATTGCCCCATGAGTTTACTTACACTGTCTCACCTTCCTTCTGCCTTTGTCTGCTACTACTCACCCAGTTCCTTCGCGGACCCAGTGGCCCGGACTTCAGTGCGCTGTAAGTCATATTACGTTTTGCATTATGCTATATCATTCAGTATTTATAAGGGTGATGGGCAGAAATCAGGAAAACTCTATTTACAGACATACGCATGATAAACAGTCATCTCTGTTTGTGTTCGACCATTGATTTCGATAAAGTCCACCCTATGCACCAGCAGGTTGGTACAAAAGGTGACGGCCTCAGGGGGTAGATTATAGTAATATAGCGGACGTAATTAGCGCCAACCGCACTCCTCACCGTCGCCCGGCGTCATGAAGACTAACGGGACCCGGCGTTGGCCACTTTCTCCAATGCCAGCCAGAAACACCGCCTAAATTAGCCTTAAGGGACAGTAGACTTTGCGCGGCTACTACCACACTACCGACCCTCACTCACCTTCAGTAGGTGTCAAGACAAGCTCAAGGAGGCCCAGACTGGTACGGCTACTACTCTTTCTGACGCCAAGATTAGTCAGACTTGACACTGATTTAAAAATCAACTCTGGGGATCATACCCCCTTGACCTCAACGAGGAGTGTCAATCTGGGGATTGTGGTATTTCGAGTAATTACCTAAGTCGTAAAGTGTTATTCATGCGTTTCAGAACGACTATTCTTTCGGGATAAGAGGCTGATGCATACACTAGTCACTCCTGTGCCGTGTCTCCATCGAGCTTAGATGTATCTGGTGCAGTATCCTTCGCATTAAGCCTTTCACCTTTTAGCACCCCCGACGAATTCGCGAAGTTTGCACTTTGAATTGTTAGCGGTCTAATTTCTGAACTTTTATCAAAGCTCTTGCGTATTTTCTGGTTCGAAATTAAACTCATGATGATTCGAAAATAAAGCCGAACCTCGCTAGGAGGCCGAGGTGTTTATCAGTTGACGGGGCACCCGCGTTTTATCCTTTATCAGTGACCACGAGCACGACAGCCCAAATGGCCTGGGCAGTCCTGTCTCGTTAGACCGAACTGGATTCTATCTTGGCTCCTAGCTTACTTTAGCCGACTTGTGCTGAGTCTGTGTAGCGGCCGAAGACATTGAGGTTGGCACCCACACGAGCGGATGAGAAATCTGAATGCGTTTCAGTCAATGCAAGCTCTAAACAGAGCTGCCAAACGCCGCACCAAGCATACAAATGTGAGCTTCATGATAAAAGGCGGAAAGATGTATGGTAGGTAATCTACTGGCAGTAAACGTATAGGTACTTCCTTTTACTTGATCCGATGAGTTTTTGTTGTTGGATGAATCGGCTTCACGGATAGTGGTGGGCCATTGGCGGCGATGGGAAGCGAGCTCCTCGCAGATGTTAATCCAGTGCTTGTTCCCTTGTGGCAAGCCGTAAACGGTAACGAGTCCCATGCGTTTGACGTCCGACTTGACGGTGTTGAACCATGTCTTCAGTTGACCGCCATGACGGTATCTCCCGTTTGCACTACGGCCAATCTGCAGAGCTCCATCGATGGTTTACGCGGCCCAACCATTGTAATAGACGATGCTGGATTTATGATGCTAGACTTGGAAGTTTGAAACATCTGCGATATAGC